ACTTTCCATTGGACGTTTTACCGTTAGTGTTGTTTTTTATATTTATGGTTTGTCCAATTCTTCGTTTTATAAGTAAATTCTAATAAATTCCTGTTGCAGCCTCAAAGTTGCTTACATTTGTACCCTTGATAAGTGTAACTGTGGGTTATTGCAGTGTAAGTTTTGTCTAGAACGCTATAACAAACAACTAAGAAGGTAAGTACGCCGCGAAGTGACAAAGTTTAGAAATCCCCTGCATAGCCTATGAATTGGCAAGGCCATGTGCGGTCATTTTCTATTTGTTTCCTTTTTAACTCGTGCGCAACATTGTTGCTAGAGACATGTGGCTGCTAACACTACCTTGTGCAACATACTCGTACAATGAAGGCGATGTTGCCGACGTTTTTTCTGTCTTTAACATTTTCATTGGAATTGTCCATTATATTGGAGAGCAATTTTTACTAAGTTGCTGCATTGAAATGACGTTGCACCAGGACTTAGGGATAAATTTAGAGAGATATTAGATACTTAAATCAGTTGCTCTTTAAATTTTTTTCCCAATAGAAGCAAGATATTTTTTTTTAATTTATTCTTTTTTTAATTGTTTGGAGCCTTTCCTAAAAAAATTGCATATTGACTTTAGCCTTGAAAGTATTAACAAAAAAATTTTAACAATGAATTTTGTAAAATTTGAATTAAAGCTCAACAAAAATTATTTAATTTGAATTAAATACAAAATTTTAATATGTAAACTTTTTTAAATATAAATATGTATTCCTACAGTAAATTTATTTATAGATACACCTAAATGTTTTAAAACTATTTAATTTTAACTACTAATTAAAACGTATAACAAAACTAAGTTTTAATTTTATAGTAATTTACAATATAATTTTTTTATCGCCTCTTTTTGCATCATCTAACAGTTTATATATGCATTTATTTTTATTAATCTTTAAACAACAACTTTCTCGAATACTTTGAATAGGCTCGTTAATTAAATATCTTTTTTTTTTTTTTACTTTTTTCTAAATAATCGCTATACATTTGTAGTTTGTTATTTATTATTATTGGTTATTATTGGCTTATGCTTAGAATATCATCAATGGTAATGATAAAAAACATCAATATAGTTTTTCGTTTGACTAAGTTAAAACCAAAAACAATTAGTTACACACATTACTAACAAACATACATACAATTTTTTTTTACTTATAATACAGATTTTTTTTTTTAATTTTCTTATTTTATGGCGTTTTATTTTATTTTTTGTAGTTTTATGGTAGTTTTTTATTTTATCTTTTATTTTAATTCATTTCTTTACTTTGTTTTATCTAATTTTTTTTAACGTTTAGTTTGATTTAATAAAATTTAGTTTAATTTAATTCAATTTGTTTTAATTTAATTATGTTTTATTGCAATTCATTTTATTTGATCTTATTTTATTTGATTTGATTTTGTTTTATTTTATTTCGTGATAGCAAGAGGTCAAAAGCTCGATCAGTTTTAGGTGAGTAATTTTAACGCGTATTTAGCTAAATTTATATTTTAAATTTTACCTAGCATGAAATATTTTTATAACTCATAAATGCGGAATAATATATTTGAAAACAATTTTTGTTTAATATTCCAATTTAACTCACAAATTTACAAATTTCACTATAAAAAATAAAAATAAAAATTCAATACATTCCTTTAGTTTCACTTTTGCTCCGAATTACGTCCATGGAAAATACACTGAGAAAGGAGTTTAGTTACGTCAACTAAATATGTTTTCTCAACACATGATTTGGTTATAAATAGTTACATTATTTGGTTACAATTACGAAATCATGTGTTAACAGAAATATGTGTATTTGGTTTACTTTTTTTCTGAGTGTATATCAAACTACGTTTGGCCTCTACCATGTTATAAATTTTCAAAATATTGATCAACTTTTCGTTTATACATATTTTTAAGTGAATTTTTTAAAATTATATTTTCTTCAGCTGGCCGGTAACTTGTTTCTTCTTTTAGTACTGTACAATTAACGCATTTTATGTAATAAATTAATAAATTTATTTACATGAGTATGTATGTATATTTTCGTAAACAGGTTTTGGTATATGACACATGAGGTAGAAAGAACTGATGATTTTTGACAACTATAGAAAAATAAAACATTTCATCTACTTTGTTTGTTTTTGCTGTTGTTGCTAGGCTGGTTAAACTGTTTTCGAAAAAATAACATTTATAGCTGTACAGCGTTAGTATCCACAAAATGGACACAGCGCTCTTTACGAAGTGGTCGGCACTATTGAGAAATCGCTAGAAACTTAAGGAATACACCCTTGCCACCTTTCTGGATATTGAAGGAGTCTTCAATAATGTCCGAACTGAGGCGATAAGCAAAGCACTCTCTGAGCACAGCATTCAGCGCCTTATGGTGACATTGATTGACTCCATGCACGAGAGCAGAATAATCAACGCGACTATAGGCACGGGATCTGTGAGAAGGAAAACCACCAGGGGCACGCCTCAAGGTGCCGTATCCCCTCTTCTCTTGCTTCTGGTGGTGAACGGAATTCTGGAGATTTTTAAAACTAGAAGAATAAGGGTTATCGCCTACGCCGACGATTTAGTGATCACTGGAAAATTTTTGTCGTCGATATGTGCCCTAATGGAGGGTGCACTGGGTGATATCTCTAAGTGGGCCAACCAGAATGGATTGTGGATTAACTCCTCCTAGAAAGAAATGGTATTGTGTACTAGGACAACAATTTCTCTACCGAAATTAGGGGACACTACTTAGAATGTGTCCTCCCAGGAAAAAATAACTCGGAATCATTCTGGACTTCAAGTTGAATTGGAAAAATAATTTCGAGGAGAGAGCTAAGAAATATCTAGCAGCATACAACATGTGCAAAAGAACTTTTGGAAAGCAATGGAGGGCTCTTGACAATGGCAATGACAGGTCACAGAGTTCAATGCCATGCACCTCGGCCTGAAAAACAGATTTAACTTGCTCCATGCTGGTGAAAAGGAGCTTTCTGGGTTGTATGGTGTAGACTACTGTTCCTATGCCGTGTACGGTCTTGGAGCCATCAGTTCATCCAGGACTTTGGTCATTCATTGTATCAGTTGTTTTTTTTTTTTTGTGGAAAAAGACCTTGTTTTGTGTGAAGTTAAAACTCGGAAGGCACGGGTCCAGAAATCCATTGCACATCCCTTCCCGTTGTTTTACATTGTCTCTGAGATGAGGCTTGCTATAAAGAATATAGCTTCCTTCTTTATAACATAAGTGGATTGCAAGGAATTCTTGCATCTCCCTGATGCGATTTAAATTCTCAAATGATTTTTAACATTTACAAAATCCGTGATCTATCAAAATATAGATTGGCAATATTTGAAATTACTCCATATATCGGCTTCTCAAGTTTAGTATTGTCTGCGGTTGCCTGCCGCCAACATAATAGCTTAACTCGATAGAAAAATTGTGTATATCCATGAAAAACCCGAAGCTAAAATGTAAAACAAAATTCCTTTAACGATTACACCATTCAACAGCCACTTTTGCACCAAAATGTAAAACTTTGTTTTTAGCTTTTCTCTCCGGCGTCACTTTTTTTTAGGACTTTCGAAGTTATGGTTAGTTTAAAAAATTATTTTAAAAACTCAGTGCAATGTAGAGTAACAATAAGTATATCAAAGTAAAGAGAAAATTCCGTAGAATTAAAAGATATTAATTTTTTGGTGTATAAGGACGAATGGGTTTGAAAATGTTTTTTTTTAATTTTATATTTGATTACCACTGAAAGTGGTTTTACGTGAATAACCAATATACACACGATCACATCCTCGAATTTAGCCCTTCTAATTTAAAGGGCAATTTTAATATCTATTCGTCCTTGTGAACCAAAAGGGGTAAAATTATTTTTACTCTTAAAATTTTCTCTTTCATCTGGTTTCTCAATTCCAGCTTGAAATTGTGATATGTTTCTCAATTCAGCCATAGAAAAAATGTCAATTGAAATTGTGTTCGAGTCTAGATTTTGGTGAAATTGAAAAAAAAATTAATTAATTTTTTTCATAGCAACTTAAAAGTTTTATAACTTTGAAAGATTTATACGTCTAAAAAATTATTTATTTGGTAAACAAATGTGATCGAAATTGGTTCTCAAATGGAAATTTGTTGTGTGAATATTTATGTACAATTTCAAATTGAAATTGACAATCGAAATTGCCCAATTTGAAGCTCGTGGAAACATACTTTTATAGAGCAGAGTAGATTTAGAAATTAAAGCCTGTTGCTGTATACAAAATTTTCTATTCAAAGAGTCACTGATTTGTCAAAGCGCCCTCGTATTAAAAATAATGTGGTTTCACGTGGAAAATATTTGTATAGTTTGTATGTATCAACAACAGCAAAAACAACAAAATTTTATGAGCAAAGTTTTGTAGCTATGCATGCTTTAACAATTATTTAAGTTAAATAAAATTTTCGTGCATTTAAAATTTTGTATAGGATTTTTTTGCATCTGAAATTTCTTTGCTTGTGCGAATTCTACACCACCAAAACAGAGATTTAAGCCAATTTTCCAATACTTTTTTACAAGCCCAAGAATGAGCAAATCATATTAAACTTTTTTTTTTTTGTTTTTGCTCCATATTTTTCTTTTGGCATACTTTGTTTTTATTATTGTTAACATATTTGATTTGCTTTCTTACTTTTATGTGCGTATTGTAGTTGTTGCTATACACGCATATCCTCATAATTTTTTATGCGTTTTTTAGTACTTTGGTTGCAGTGATTTGTAAGTGATTTGAACTAAGCTTAAAAATAGTTACACTTCCAACATTTTTAGTTATTCTTTTTTTTCATAAATGAGTATAGTTATGAGTATTTGCTTCTAACTCTTCATTTTCTCTTTCGCTATTTTTCTTATGATTCTTTCAGTTACCTTCGTTTTTTTTTCTCAGAATTTCCTTTTCAATTTCGCTACTTACTTGTATTTATTTTATAATTTCATTTTATGATGCATTTATTTCTATTATTTATTAACTCCCCTTAGTTCCCCGTGTTCCTTTCATTCCGCCTGTACTTTCTATTGTGGCTGATAGGGTTGTTGGTAGCTGAGTTGTTGTGGTTGTTGTTGTTGCTGATACGCCGGCTGTTGGTATTGTTGGTCGTAGGTTGGCATTTGAGACTGTATTGTTTGTTGTTGGGCATAGTCATATACCCCATACGCGCTGGCATCACCAGCTGTGGCCTCGGGCACCACACTCTCCTCGGGTATAGTGGCAGCCATGGCGGCGAATGGATTGTTGGCCACGTGACCAGTCGCACCATAATTGATGGCATTCGGCTGTTGCATTTGACTTTGTTCGGTGTATTGTGGTGGTGCGCCCTGTTTTTTGGAGCGAAGAAAAAAATACAAAATATTGAGGAAGATAAAAATAAAAATATTTTATAATGGAAATGCATTAAAAGGCAATTCAAACGAAAAAAAGCCGACAACAAAAGGTTAATGTATCTTTTGTTATGACAAAGTGCATTCAGTTCGGTCTATGTTCGAACTTCAAAATTATGCATTAACAACAAAAAAGCACTATATACTTTAGTAATTATGTGCGTATTTAATGGCGCTATTGCATGTCCATTTCATTTGTAAATAATTTACGTCAAAAAATTATCTTGATTTCTGAACTTACGAATGACGTCTCTTTGGTGTAACCACCCTGACTGGGATCTTCAGCTATGGCTCCCATTGGTGGCGCCCACACCTGCTTCTCTTCAGTCGGTGGTTCGGCCCAGGGTTGTAGTTCGCCCGAAGCGAAGATGCCGTAGAAGGTGCAGCCAACTAAATGTACGCAGGCGGCAAGCGTGAAGACAGTGGTCCAGCAGCCGGTGGGCTATGAAAGATAAAAATACATACATTTTTTTAACCCATTCAGGTCCTTGAGGTTATATTTAAATAAATAAAGATTACAGTATACAAATCGACTGCTGAATGGAAGAGCGACCTATCTTGGTAGCCGGTTCGAAAACGGCGTATGTCAACAAATTTTTCAAGAACACTCTATTTCTGAATTTGATTGAAGAATGCTCTAACTCAGAAAATGGTTGAGGAACGCCCAATCTCAATGTAAATTCAATATATTGGCAACTCTGTTAGGCCGTTTTTGCACCATTTGCTGAAACAGGGCGTTTTCGAACTGGCTGCCGAAATAAATCGATCTTCCACTCAGCCGTCGATATATAGAGTTAAATTGACAGATTTTGACTTTTCTTTCCGACAGTAAACGAAGCATCTATGACTCACTAGAAATAGCTGATTTAAAGAAAATCTGTACTCGCTGTAGCTATATCTCGGGGTGTGTTACTACCCCTTCTGATTCGCTTTTCATCAATAAATCGATCTGCCGAGTGGGAGGCAAAAAAAACGGTCTGGGGGTTAATCCATCCAAAGCTGAACCACTGCTATTTGTGAAGCGAAAGGACGGAGATGTGAAGCCTTCAATGCAGTTTACATCTGCAAGAGTTCAATTGAAGAGGACCGCAATAACACATTGGGTATACGCAGCCTTAGTTACACATTTTTTCACTAAAGGCGCATTGGTAGGGTGAGACGCGGTTGACACCACCAATTACTATCTAATCAACCTACAAAGGTTGTAACGGCAAGCTTGTCTAAGTATATACAATATCAGAAAATTGCTCGATTCCCTAAGCAGCGGTAGGAATACTTCTCGATATTCCTTCCTAATCAATAAAGTTAATTTTGGATGCAATTTCAAAAGTGACTGGGAACATAATATCGTAACGATAATTCGATATATAGTACACAGACGGCTCCAAAATAAACGATGAATAAAGATCTGCCGTTTTCTCGCAGTAACTGCGAGATGCATATATGTATGGTAAGCATGGTAGGCCTATGTACATAGCTCCATCAATAGTTACCTCCGTTGTGGAGATTCAAGCTGTGGTTAAGGCCCTTAGGAGGGTAACGTCTAACTCGATATGAGGTCATTCTAAAGATTGCTACAATTTCTTCGATAGCGTATAATTGACCTCTACTGGGTCGCAGGATACAATGGTATACCGGGATATGAGAAAGCAGCCGAGTGCTGGAGATAACAGTTTGGTAAAGGATTGTGGGAAACGGCTCAAACCGTAAAGCCTCCCATTCCGGTTTTCATGAGTGGAAGAGATCTCTAGAGTAGCTACCAAATGAGAGATTAACTAATTTGCAAACATGCATGGTATCGTACTTAATTCGTCTACTGTTCGATAAACGAAAAACACGGAGTTTGCTGAGGCACTTAGAACCGAATACTCGACTTCCAACCGGATCACCAATGGGACACTGGACCTGTCGGCTAGTTTCGGATTCCTGTAAAGACAGAATCCATTCCGCACAATGTACATCTTCGACAGCTGGACAGCTTAAGGAATACTTTATTAGAGGATCTTCTGCGGTTTTCCAGAAAATCAAGATGATTTAGACATCTACCGCATAACGCATTTCGACAGTGTGGCCTCCGAGCGTACCCCTTCACTATAACTGCCTATCTCACACACCTTCTCACACCGGCCGGCGTCCATGTTGGCAAACAACGGATCTACAAGTAGGTAACTTTTGCAGCGGCACGATACATGTTGTCCGGCCGACTCGCGGAATTCCGCCCTAATTTCACGGCGGTATCTGTTATACTAGCAACCGATCGGGGTCATATAAGTTAACTCGATGGCAAAGATCTCCATGCCAGAGATTTGAACTTGAAGTTTCGGCAACTGGTAAAATAGCTTTACGCTAGGCGCACATTGCATCCGATAGGCCGACCGATTTCGGCCGAACAATTTGACCTTCCGAACTGATGCGAACACTTAACCAGATTATTTTCCGACCGTATTTGTACACCCAAATCTAGTTTTCATTACAATTTTGTAAGCAGTGAAATATTTTGATACATTTTAATTGACATACCCTAAACATGTGATTTTATATGTAATTTTTTTTGTTTTTGCACACAATAAGTTAATTTTTCGCAGTCCATTTTGGTACTTTTCACCTGACATCGGACGAGAAAAACAAACATGTTTGAATTTATCGTCACTGACGGACGTCACGGCCGATGTCGGTTCGGTTATCGGTTTATGTGTGAGAGCGTTCATATAATCACAAGTGTTTATCCGTATCGCCCGTATATAGCCGATATCGGCCGATCACAATAGTTCACTGGATTTACACAGCAGTGGTAAGTTCTATGTTATTCTACATCATTAGATAAACCGCTCACAAATTCTAAGCTTACCAAGGTTCAAAGGCTAGCATGCATGCTAATCACAGTTACGCTAGCATCCACACCCACCAAAGCCATGGAAACACTTCTAAACTTTCTACCCGTAAACCTTTTTGGGAAGCTACAGGCGAGCTGCTATGCACTAAGAATTAATGCACTGTCAAAGATTCGGTCACAACAATATTATAACCAAGTACCCCGACGCGTTTAGGTCCCCAGCTTATAGAACACCACCGATGGAGCCTCGAGAACAAGTTCTGCACTTGCATCCTCTAGAGGAAGGACTGGGAGCACAACTCGGTCTCACAACTTAGATCTCTGCTTTAGGCTACCAGTCCACTGCAGTGTCTTCCAAGCAGAACTCCCGGCTATAAAAGAGGCTGAACTCTCTTAACCTGTCTTCAGTAACTATATACTCCGATAGCCAAGCTGCTAACAAGTCACTGGATTGCTGCAAGATCTGGTCTATAACTGTGATAGGATGTAGGAAGGTCCCTAACGATCTAGCTTCAAAATCTACTACTCACATTGTGTACTTAAATAATTGGAAGGCATGCTAACAGAATTGGTTTGGCGGCCAATAACTTCTGCCGTAGTTAACGCGACGTGAAGGAAATCGAGAGTGTGGAGCACTACCTCTGTCACTGGCATGCCCTTATGTGGGGGAGAAGACGCTCATTTCACCACCACCTTTTGTCTTTTTGGCCGACCTAAGCGAAGCAGGTATTGACGCATTATCGTACGTTGGATGAAGGCAGCCGCTTCAACCTAACCCAACCTAACCTAGCACCAGAAACACTTACATACATAGATATCTCGTAGCGTAAAGCGAGTTTTTGAATATTTAACGGATCTTAACCGGATATCCGGTTAGCAACCAAGAACGGCTATTAATATATCAAAATATACAGTTTGCCGCAGCCCTCTTTAGATGTATTCTTTAATACTCACGATTCGTACAATTATTACTCGCGATTTACATATTTATTTGTTATTAATTTAACTATCAATGTGTTTAAACTTAAAGACATATGCATTACTTACATCTCTGTAAATCAAACCATCGAGCGCATAGGGCACAATTATGCCAGCCAAAGTACCAATACCATTCGAGAGACCCATCAAAATACTAGCATAGCGTGGTGCGATATCCAGATGATTAACATTATAGCCCGAAATGGCAAACCCACTAAAGGCGACGCCACAGGTGAGAGCAAACATGGCGCCAGTCTAAAAGAATTACATAAAAAAAAACTATGCACAAAAGTTCCTCCCACAAACTTACCGCCGTATTGGAGTGCGCGACGAACAGAAAGAACAACCCCTCCATGCCGAAACCGCCACAATTGAAGAGCTTTCGCACATTCGTCGTCGACATAATGCCATTCTTACGCAAATGATCCGCCAACATGCCGCCAAATGGCACTATAGTGGTCATAATCAAATGCGGCAACGAACCAATAAAGCCCGCCTCCTCGACCTTGAAGCCAAATTTGTGTTTCAGAAATGAAGATTGGAAGAGCACGAGTAGATAGAAGTTCCAAGAACGACAGAAATTCGCAACGATAATGGCATAAACCGGCATGGAACGCACCATCTCGCGCCAGGGTGTGGTGCTTATCGATGGCATCGATGGCTGCATGGACGTCTCGCCCAACGACTTCTCGATATACTTCAGTTCAGGTACGCTAATGGCAGGATGTTTTCGGGGATTCTCGAAGCAGAGCCACAGCCAAAAGAGGTACCTAAGGGGAGCAGGGAGAGAAAAAGATGGTGTGCGTGAGAGAATATGCATTTGAGAAACATTGTTTGAGACTAATATTGCACTTGGTTTAGTTATGGTATTTTTAAATTAATAAAATTAAATTAAAACTATTTTATGAAAGGCTTTTTCAGTGCATTTTTCTATTTTTTGGGTTTAAATTATTTGTTTACTGCAAAAAATTCAGCTCTTAAAATTTTTATTAAAAAAAATTAAATTTTATACTTTGATTATTGTCTACGTTTTAAAAAAAATTGAATTAAACACATGTCTCCCAGTTTTATAGGCTTATATTCTTTACGCTGAATTACAACAAAAAACGGTAGAATTTTGTTTGCTAATGTTTGCGTTTAACGAATTAAAAACCTCCTTCAAAAATTCTTTTCAGTGTACTTATTCTTCTCAGTGTAAATATTTCTTCTGGAGTAAAACACCATTTACGTTTTCAAAGCAATTATTTTTTTTATGTAATATTTTTTTATTTTTTTTTTTTAATATTCGCGGGTTTTAGGTTTAAACTATTACAATAAAAAAATTACACTGGCAAAAAAACAACAAAATTAAAATTTTTTCCACAAAATTAATAATATTTACATACACAAAATTTAAATATTTTTTTGAGTAAAAAATGGGGAAATGAAAATAAGTAAAAAGTAGTATTTAAAAGATAAATTAGAATCAAGAATATAATTTATAAAAATGTGCACTCCACAAATTAAAATTTTAAGAGTTTCTAAATATATTTACATATTAATCTTTGTATACAATTTTTTATTTAAAATAGAACTTTTTCCCATATCAGAAAGTTAAATAAGTAGTAGAAGTAAATTTTATACATACATATGTATGTAACAATTTTATTGAGCTTGAGACACTGCAAAAAGTAAAAGATTTTAGAACTTTTTTTAAAGTATTGTATTATTTTTTTAATAAAAAAAAATATTACAGAAAAAAAGTTTAAACATACAGACTGAAAAACAAAATCAGAATTTATAATTTAAAAAAAAAAATGTATATATTTTTTATTTGGGGAGTAAAGAATGGCTAAATAATATCAGTTTTATTTTGAACTACACTTTTTAAAACAAGTAAAAAGTAATATTTAAAAGTGAAATTAGAATCAGAAATAAAATTTACAAAAATTTTTACTTCGCGAACAAAAATTTCAAGTGCTTCCACAGAAATTTTTCTATTTATCTGTGTATAAAATTTGTGTTTAAAAAAGAAAAAAAAAGAAACACTTTTTGCCATATCTGAAAGTTAAATAACAGTTAAAATTATTTTTATAAGTAAATACATTGCAAAAAAATAAAAGATTTAAAATTTTTTTTAAACAATTGCATTATTTTTTAACAAAAATATTATTAACAATATACACAAAACCAGTTCCTCTAAATAATTTTTTTTTTTAATAAACTGATGCAAATATATAAAGATGAAAAAAGCCACGTCTTTCTACAAAAATTTTACCTATTAGAAAAAGAAGAAAAAATTTCATTTCGGTATTTGAAACTATTTAAAATTGTATTTAACTGAAAAAAAGAAACAAAAATGTTCTGGACCTTTTTAATTAAGAAAATTTTTTGTAAAAATTAAATAACTTTTTTTCCTTGTAATAATTTTGCAGATTAACAAAAGCAAAGTATTTTGACTTGTGTGTAGTTATAAAAATTTACAATGCGATAAAAAACGTGCACTATTAAAAAAAGCATTTAAAAATATTCTTTTTTTGGTAACGCATTTGAAATAAAAATAGCAAAACCAAATAAATTTTCTAAAATTGAGTCATAAACGAAGATTCACAAAAGCAGATATACATAGGTACATAGATACATACATACAAATGTACACTGCGAAAAAAAAAAATATTTTATCAAAATCCAAATTAATGGTAAATACCCCTCCAACAAAATAACGCCATATGAGTTTTAAAAAATTCTGCTTTAAATTCAAAAATTTAGATGACTTTTTTTTAATACAAAAATTTGCTTCGTCTCCAAATATTAAACTTCCATGTCGTATTTGGTATTCGCTACTTACCATGTTATGCCAAACGTGCCGTAAGCGTAGAAGGGCGCCTGATAGCCAATCGCATCGGCCAGCAGACCGGACAGCGGTAGACCCACAACAACACCCGCATACGAACCGCTGAACGCCAAAGTTGCTAAACGCGAACGCTCCATGGGTGGCGCCCAAAATCTCCAAATGCCATGGCAGGCCGGATAGGTGACACCCTGTTGGGCGTAAGGGGACAAAGAAAATGCGAAAATAATTTACATTTGCAGGCACACAAAAGAAGGCATTAAATGAAGAAGACGGAAACAGTTTATACAAAGAAAATGCGCTGACACTGAGGTCACACGAATGAAGAGAAATCAAATTTTTTTGTTATTGTAATTTTAGTATATTTATTTTTATATGATTTGCAGAAAAATTCAGCGGCAACAGGAAGTGCCGGATTTACAGATGATGAAGCTTTGTCAAAAATAAACGAAATAAAAGCAACAAAAAAAAAATCGAGTAACTCATCAAAAGCGATGGCAAAAAGGATTTATTTAGCAATAGCAACCCTCAACGCCCAAAAGCAGATTACAGCATGTTTTCATTTCGGCTGCAACACAACACAAGCGCATTAATAAGACGAACATGAACACATACGTACATACATATGCTTGCCTGATTTACTATTTCAGCAAATTCAAATACTTTCTTCATATGATTCAATTTCATTTTGAATGCCTCTGTAAATCATACGGCTGATGGCTCATACGCTGCCAAAGAGACGGGGCAGACAATCAGCCACACAGGCACAGCTTCATACATAGTCAAATTCAAGTAGCTTTGATCTGCTTAAGGCAAATCGAATTTCATTCAAAATGTTGCATTTCATTTCACCGCTTGTTATGTGACAAATATCGTACAAAGCTTTGTATCTATATACGTATGTACATACGTACATTTCGCTCAGCTCATATTTTCTTTCATAAACTAACTGACCCTTCCTTCCACTTTCTATTCATTTTTAATAGACCATACGAGATACACCTCCACTCACCTCGAATAGTCCCTGCGTTACACGCACACCTATAACAACATAACCGTGACACACGGCCATCACCAATGGCACCAACAAATGTAACGTTGCCGAGCATACAATGGACAATCCGAAGATTTTATTAGCCGGAAATCTGGAAGCTATGAAACCACCCGGTATTTGTGTGATCAAATAGCCCCAGAAGAATGACGAATCCACATGACTCTCCACGGCGACACTCCAATTCATGAAAGTCGTCTGAAAAGAGGAGATGAATTATTGTACACTTTTTGATATGGAAAATATAATAAATAAATGTACCAAAAATTTATCTATACTGTAACTGAATTTTTTGTAAATAATCGTATAAATGTGGCTGTTCAATAGAAATGGATATGATGTTAGCATTTATCTATACATTAACTAAACAGTTGTAACGACTGTAGTAAACTTCAAATCGGGAATAATTTTTCGCCCCTCCCCATTTTCTCCGTTTTTTAATAAAACTTTTGTTTAACTTAAGTATAGTGTGGGTGAGTTGTGACAAGTATTTTCTACGAAGGGGTCAATTGTCTCTGCACTAATAACATAGTCCAACAAATTTTAAATTTTTTCTGTAACAGTATTTTTTTCGCTATGAAATTTGTACATTTTCAGCGCTTCCACATTCCGAAATTCCAACTACTTCAAAAGTTACAGCAGTTAGGTGGGAGTGTTAGAAAGGCGATTCTTCTTTTCTTTTACGTTTTTCTGGAGATAAAAAGATACCGTGCAGGTATCGATACTTTTACTTGGAAGTAGTATCGAAAGAAAGTATCGATGCCTGAAAAATATCGGTTACGCATGAACGGAGTTAAATTTTATATTTTTAAGTAATAAGTTAGCCATTCTCTGGGAATCCTAAACTACGCATAATAAAAGTTGATAATGTAGGAACTGAAAATAAATAAAACACCATTTCATAGCAATATATGTATATACATTAGACTGCATCACCAAAAAAAGTTGCAGTTTTTCCGCCGGGATTACAAAATTTTGTATATTTTAAGAAGTCCACCAAAATATTTCGAAAAAAATATTAAGATTTTAGTGAGCTGGACCGATTTGAAAACACCTCCAAAAATGGATTTTTTTTATGAATAAAAATAGTTTCTTAAAGAATTTTTTGAAAAAAGTCCCCTCAGATGACAAAACAGATTAAGCTTAAAAAATCTGCATAAAAATATTTAAAAATCTTTTCAACGGAATCGTAAGAACGAGATTTTTGATGCTGTTTTTTTACTTTTTTCAAAGATTGATTTACGAAAACCTTGAATAACTGGGCCAAAACTATTCTGATTTAGAATTGGAAAGGTATTTTCACACTGTTTTTATTTCTGTCCAAAAAAAGTCATTCGTATCCCAATTTTTTATTTTTCACCAACACATCTTAATTCAACTTTGAATAACGTTCGTTCATCCTACCTTTCTCTGTCAACCTTTGAATGAGTTTATTAGCAAAGAAATAAAAACGATGCATCAAAAATCTCATTAAACCAGTTTTTGAAAAAAGTTCAAAAAAATGTTTTTATGCAAGCTTTTTAAGCTTAAACTGTTTAGTCATCTGAGGTAATTTCTTTCAAAAAATATTAAAAAATAAACTTTTTATTAATAAAAAAAACTAAATTTTTGGAGGTATTTTCAAATCGGTCCAGCTCACTTAAATCTTAATATTTTTCCGAAATATATTGGTGGACGTCTTAAAATATAATAAATTTTATAATTCCAATGGAAAAATAGCACCGATTTTTTTTTGTATGGGGAGTGATGCAGTCTAATATACATATGTGTATATAGAGATACATATATTTAATTATGAATGGCATATAACACAGGTAATGCATGGGAAAATATTACAAGAAATTAATCTCGTTTAAGAAACAATTTTATGAATAAATATTTTAGCGAAAATAAATAGTATTCTTTTGTGGTTTTTCCCAATAATAGATTTCTAGATTTGGTTCTTGTTGTCCCTGCTTTAGAAAACAATCGTTCGCAAAGAACAAATACTAATCTATAAGTATATAAATAAGTTCATGTATTTTTATATGTACATACAACAACGCAAATGCAGTTTTTCGCTCCTCCCATTCTTCGAATAGGTTCGACTTCAGGATACTGGGCTGCACAAATAAAAATACAATTCGTCACCTTTCGTTGACCTTTTACTTGTTTGACCTATGGCGAGCCGCTTTTGACCATGTTGACACGGTGTCAGGTAACCAGATCAACAGAAAAAACGTCAATTGACACTATTACGCATACTTGGGTGAAATAAAGTCAATTGACATTATTACCTTTTCAAAAGCGAAATAAGGTAAAAAAAAAAAAAATGGAAATTTGGGCGGGCCGCTGCGAAGCTACGCAAATTTAATGTTTGAAAGAGCAATAATGTCAACGGATTCTATTTCGCTTTTGAATAGGTAATAATGTCAATTGATTTTATTTCGCACCAGATGCGTAATAGTGTCAATTGACGTTATTTCCGTGAATCTTGTTACCTGTCAGCGTGTCAACATGCTACTACTACTACTACTACTACTATTACTACTATATTTAGCGGGTTTGCCACAAATCAAATTCAACATAATTCATCAATTAATTAAAAATATGTATCGCAATGTCGGAAGAAGGAGAGTTAACAAGGGGTTTAGCTTGAAAATACTTTTAAAGAGCGCTTTCACCCGTTTCAAAGGTCTAATTTAATTAACTAATATGGGAGTCAAACGAATGAGTATTAAGAAGTCTTTAGTTTGAAAACTTGGAAAGTTTGAAGACGGTTGCCACGTATTTAAAAAGTTATATTCAATAAGTTGGATTAATTATTAAAAGATAGGTATCAATCGAAGCGGGTTTGAAAACTCTTTATTTCTGACCTTTTTAAAAGAGAGTTTCCACATGTTTTAACAATAAAATTAAATTTAGTTCATCAGTTTAAATACAAGTATATCACAATGTTAGACGAAAGGGATTTAAGAAGATTTTACTTTGAAAATACTTTTGGAGAGGGCTGCCATCTGCTTGAAAAGTGGAATTTAGTTAACTTATACACAAGTTTTATCAAATATTAAGATATGGATGTCAATCGAAAGATATTTATGAAAGCTTTAGTTTCAAAATATATTTGATTTGGCTTACCACCTTTCCGAAAAGTCATATCGATCTAACTAAGTAGATACATATGCATATTATACGAAAAGGCATTTTTTGTGATAGTCATTAAATTTGCACTGTTCTTTCGAATGGGAGGTGAAATTAAAAACTTTAGCGTGTAGTTTAATTTTTTTAATTAATTTTTTATATGTATATGTATATGGCGCTCAGATCGCTTATAACTCTGACTAAAATTTGAAAAATTTTTTAAGTTTTTTAAATACAATTTTCGGCGTTTTAACGCCACGCGGGTTCACTAGTAGAAATTTGTTTTTAAAAGCTTCTCTTAAGCATGTACCGCTGTTTTATTCGCTTCACGAAACACTCATATGAGAAAATGTGTACTCAAACGTAACCATTAGCAGCTGCATTAAAATAAAACTCGTAGCAACAATTGTCGCGGCTGATGCAAAAAAAAGGATAACAAACAAACTCGAAGCATTCAAGTGCGCCACATTGAAATGGAAAAGAGTATATCAAACCACAATGCATATTTGCAACAAATGATGTGGAATTTCGAAAGCTAAGTGCATAGCAACAAAAGGCATATGCAAGTAACAAAACGAATTGCAAAAATAAAAATAAAATGAGGATAGAATGAGAGTTAGAAGTGAGTGGGGATGAGAAAGAAACGGAAAATAAGTGCAGAAAACATCCAGCCCTGAAGGCATTATTAACGAGCGTGACGGAATTACGCCCGCATAACCAACGAAGAAATCTGCAAAACATTTACAAAACGTATAAATAAAAGAAAACATGAAAATGAGGAAGAAGAGAAGAGGGTGAAAATATGAAGTCTGAATTGTGAAATATGAAATATCGACTTTCGAAAGTGAAAAGCGCAGCACGAGGCAAGGAAATTTTTAGTTGGCAGCTTCCATGAATTCTTCGAATGCCAACTTGTCGAAATTTGAAACGTGACTTTGAACGACCGCTGGCATTTTTCGCAAACATCAAAAATTAATTGACAGATATTCATGTCGCAAATACACTCACACACGTATTCGCAAACAATTGTATGACTTTACAAATTAGTTAAATTTTAGCTGCTTAACAATGACGTCGAAGTCATTGGCAGAGCATGTGGATCACGCCTAATGTGACCAACTACTTCATAGCTCAAAGAATTACAGAAACTGAAAACCAACAAGTAAGAAAGTCTAAGTTCGGGCAGAGCCGAACATTAAATACCCGGCGCACGTATTAAATATATGTTTTTCACCTTACCGAAAGCTACGGCTACATGGTAAGCCGGGGCGTATCAATTTTGAGTAAATTAGAGTCCTTAAATTTCGATTTTGAAGTTTCAAGCAGTTCTGAAATTTACCGTTATATGAGAAGCGGCCGTTATTTTAGTCCGATTTCAATAATTTTCAACGGTTTGCTTATATGTGGCAAGCACAATAACCACACCGAGTTTGGTACAAATTGGTAGAAGGGTTACTGAGATACATATATGTGATCATAAGTGGGCGGTGCCACGCCCATTTTCCAAAAATTTATCACAAACGTATTTCTTGGTAAAGAATTGTTGCAAGCATCAATTTTGAACAAATTAGCTTCAATATTTACTGATTTATCGAAGATTTTGTATTTCTCTAAATTACCGTTATATGGGATGTGGGCGTGGTTATCGTCCGATTTTAAAAATTTTCGGCGATTTTGTATGCTGTACCAAGGCCGATAACTGTGCCAAGTTTGGTAGAAATTGGTACAGCGGTTACCAAGATATACACATGTAACCATAAGTGGGCGTGGCTACGCCCATTTTCCAAAAATGTATAATATTCTTATTTTTTGTCAAAAAATTATTGTAAATACCAATTTTGAGTGCTTTATCTTCAGTAGTTACTAAAATATCGCAGTTTTCGTATTTCTGGAAATTACCGTTATATGGGAAGTGGGCGTGGTTACAGTCCGATTTCGCCCATTTTCAATAGCAACCTACCTTGGATTAAGGGAAACCAAACATACCAAATTTCGTTGAGATATCTCAATTTTTACTCGAGTTATCGTGTACACGGACAGACGGACAGACGGACAGACGGACGGACGGACGGACAGACAGACATGGCTTAATCGATTTCTTTTTTCATCCTGATCATTTATGTATACATTTGTCTATATCTATCTCGATTCGTTTTGGCTGTTACAAACAACCGTTATGTGAACAAAATTAATATACCCTTGTGCACAAGTGCGCTCGGGTATAAAAAAACGGAAACAGTGTACCAATTCAACAAATAAATTTTTATTAAGTACAAATCTATACTATTTATTATTCTAAGACAAGGCACTCATTCCCAGCGATCTACTAATCGTACAGGGACAGAGAATATGGAGTAAAAAAGGACGCCCACAGCAACACCTTGAAAGCGCGTTTTCCGAGCATTCCGAATATGGAGTGAGAGGGGAGTCAAAGTGTGTGCTTTGTTACCGAATAAAATGTAAATAATTTTTTTAATTTAGCGTTTTTTCAATAAAAAGAAATGATGAAACACTTTGATACTTATTAATTATAAACAAAATTAAGAACATTTTGAAAAGCCGTAAAGCTCCCTTTTCGGTCTATTATTGGATTCCGCTGGTATGCTGAGAACAATAGTTTTGAACAACTTATTTTTTTTATTTTAAATTTTACATATATGGTTTTAAAAATCTGGAAAACCAAAAAAAAATTATTGCCACCTAACTAATAATTACTAATTTTAAATAAATGTGGGATTATTTCAAATTTCTTTTGCGAGTTAGAGAATGTCGAGGAGTCTCCCCAGACTCAAAAATGAAGTTAAGTACAATAACAGTATATTTTTCGAGATGTAAATTTAGTCGACTGGGTCGTTCAACCTCAGCCTGGTGTAAGTAATCAAAACCACTTGAAGCGTTGAGCAATTTCGTGTCCAAAAAATAATTATTGTACGATAGTTAGTAAGGAAATTTTTAATGCATAGATAAAGTAGTTTCTGAATATCCATAGGAGCAAGTAAAATTCGCCACAGAATTTTTAAACTCTCTAACGCCTTTTAAGTTTTTCTTTATTGAGTAGCCATTTATAATGCAATTATTCAGCTAGAGAAGTGAAGTGTTGAAAGACATAATTTATGTGTTGATCTATGAGTACCTTTCTTAACTCAGATGACTAACCTTTTGAAATTTTTTGAAACATTTAAAGAAATTTCAACTTAAAAGGTAGTACCAAGGCATATCAAACAGGTATTAGAGCAAAAACAAAATATAAATGTATTTTGTTGTTGCTTGTCTTATCTAAATTATCAAAAACTGTTCTGATTTTGAGTAAGAATTAAAAATTAAATATGGAAAAAAATTGGTGCGCCTTTCTTTCTTAGTAAATTTTGTTTGCTTCTCGAAGCATTGATCCATCATATGCAAGGTCCAGTAATCAGCGTTTGTGCTGCAGAGTTAGGTGAATGCTCCAAACGTGGCTTTTGAAGCGCTTGTTTTGTATTGGAAAAGGTTTCACATGCAAAAAGATTTTGACAATTTGTATTTTTTGTAAGAAGAACTTAAAAATATTTGACATTTTAGAGACCGAATAATTTGAAAAGAAAAAAATCAAATCAGCTGCTCCACTGATACTACCTTTCCAATGTGCCTTGGGTAGTACAAAATATTGCAAAGAAGTACATTTGACTGTACTTCGAAGTACGAAGTACAACGGCTCAAAAAGAAGTACTGTTCTTCCGAAAGAAGTACGGTTGGTCTCATTAATCATACCACCAAACACAAACAAACATATGTATGTATTTATCTCAACCCACTTACATACATACATACATATTAACTTTAAATATTACACCGTGCTAACAAACCAATATATTCGCGAAAGTAGAGACCAAAAAGAGTAAAACTGCGTTTTTAGTATTTTTACCTCTGGCGTTAGGATTTTTTTAAAGGACTTTAAAATCTCAAAGAGATGATTAATTCAAAAATTATTTAAACAATTCAGTGCTAGTATGTTGAATAATAATATGGGTATCAAATAAAAGGGAATATCCTTGAAAATTTGCAATATTTATTTTTGAAAAAATTATATCGACACCTTTGCGCAAAACTATCGTATGTGCCAAAATTTTACAGGAGAGCGTTTTTTCTACATTTAAAAATTTTTTTTTTTGTTATATTTTTTTTTTTGTTACTAAATATCTTCAAAATACTTTCTTATGGCACATACGATAATTTCGCCGTCAAGAAAATAATGCATTGTAAAATACGATAAAATATACAGCACAATTTTACGTAACTATAGGGATTTTAGTCAATGTTATTGTGGCTTGTTAACATTTTATTTTTAATATTTTTAT